AAACGGTTGGGTAAATGTGTGTGCATGTGTAGGTAGCCAGCCTACGTGTATATGACTTTTCATAATTAAAATACATATCAAAAAGAATATATATTATAATACATACACATAGGTATATGTGTGTGCATCTACCCAAATCTATACATTTAAATCTTTAAAGTGTTCTGAAATGGGCAATTACAGTTTATGAAATCTGATAGATACATGAAAGTTTGCCATCCGTATTATTTGCTGCACTTTTGTGTCTGGCTGAAATATTTTTTAAAATATTTTATAATTAGAAAAAAAGGAAATGCAAATCAAGTGTTTGCAGAGCCTCTGAAACTTCACAGAGCTGAGCCACTGCCCGGAGTCTGGTTTGGAAGCATAAATAGGGCAGCCTGCAGGCTGCCTGTGCAAAGTGTCCCGAGTCTCGCCTCCTGAGCCTCCACCCACTGTCCCCCCCTACCCCTGCCGACATCCTCAGCAGCCCCGTCGCCTACCCCCAACTGCTGCTTTGTCTGTGGCAGGCCTCTGTAAACTGGTCCTGCCTGACAGCAGGAGCCCGTCCCATACGTGCTCTGTGAGCAAATCAGTCAATTCAGCCCTGCCTCGGAGGAGCTCCTTTCCCTTCTGACCAGGAGTCTCTGGCTTCTCTTGACCTCTAACCATTGCAGGTGGCACCGTGAAGCTTGCTTTGTGCCCTCAGGATGAGCCGTGAGCAGGCTCAGGATGCAGAGGACCTGCGGGAGCTTCCAGAGCACAGATGAGGTGGCGGCCTCACAGCAAGCATTTTGATGAGGCAGGTGCTGTGCTTGGTAGATATAAACGTTTGAGAGGAAGCTTGTCTCTTGAGGGACAAACAGCATAGTGAGGGTGAGCACAGGCACGACAACAAGAGGGAAGGGACAAGACGAGGGCTGTAGAAGCGAGCATGGTCCAGGGATGCCCTGGCACTGCAAGGAGGGGTCCTCCTGGCTTCTGCGCCAGACTAGGGATGGCCTGTTCCAGAGAGTCCAGACTAGCGGTGAACATTCAAAAAGCGCAAATCATCCCCACATGACCTAATTTAATCCTGGCAATGACCCTGCTGGGGACAGTCACTGAGCTCACTTTACAGGTGGGTGTACTGAGGTTCAGAGAAGCCAAGATACTCGATCAAATTCACATAGGTAGGAAGCAGGTAAATGGGACTGGGAGGTAGATATTTTAACTCTGTGAGCCCATTTAGAAACACTTCTCTTGTCTCAAGCAACATTTGACGGATAGATCCTTCAGCCCACCCCTTTCCCTCTGAAGAGAGAATTCCCTTTTGGACTCAGGCTGTGCACAGGACTGATTCAACACGGTGAAAAACTGTGACCCAGGATTTGGGGACATCCTGAGATGACACAGTTTGAGTTGACTCTGGTCATTGGATAGCTGGGGATGCCAGCCAGGTCCCCATTCAGGCTGAGGCCGTAGTTATGGGAAGTGTGGTTAAGTTATGGCCCAGGGCCTCTGATGTAAGGCTGTACGCCGCACCCAGGCATGGCAAAAGCCACGTGTGAGCTGGGACAGAAGTGTCTGTCTCCTCGGCCCTCTCATCCTCCTGAACTTGCCCCCAGCCCCCAGGGGGGTGCTGGCCCTGACTGCACCTGTCTTGGGGGCCGTCAGGCTGGGATGAAGCCCAAACGGCAGTGCTCCGTAACAGCAGGGCCTCCCCTGCTTTTCTTGGCCTCGTGCATATTCACCGTATGAATTCTGCTTCTTCAGGGCTGCCCATCAGCAAGAGCGGTGCTGGGCATCCAATGCATCTACTTTGGGGGTGGAGAGTGCGCTGACTGGCGCCGCCCTGGACTGTAAATCTGAAGCCTCCAGATGGGGATGCTTGGAAGAGCTCCGACTCCTGTCCAGACGACGTGAGCACCCTGCCCCCATCATTCACTGCAGCCCGCAAAAGCCTTGACATTTTTACCAGGAGGAACTCATAAAGACTGTGGCCAAGTTCAAGGAGCAGTGACAGGCTGGTTCACATGGAGGTTGATGTGGCTGTCCTTTGCCTCCAGGCTGGAGGACCCTTAAGGTGGTACACAGGCATTCGAAAGTGAATCTTTTCTTCAGCCTCTGAAGAGGGGATACAAAGAACCCAGGAATGCCATCCGTCATGCCTTGAGGATCCTACTATTCTTGCACCCACAAGCTCTTTGAGAATTCTGTATGTGCCCAGTCCCAGCAAACGCCCTTCAGCTGAAAATGGGGCAGCAGACCCACGCTCAGCAGACCCACGCTCAGCCTCCTTCTTGCCCTGTGACCTCTGTGATGTCACTAGGTGGCTTTCTATGTGGATAAAAAGGTAATCAGGGTGGCCTCTCATCTCTGACTTTGCTGCAGGGCCCCCCTCACGCATAGAGACCTGGGGGCAGGGCCTTATGGAACCTGTGGGGCCAGGGCTGAGGCAGGTATGGGAGGGCCTCCCACGACTGGCTGGGAAGGTTGGGGCGGAGGCTGGTAAAAACGGCAGCGTGTGGGGCCTCTAGTCCCCTGGGTGTCTTGAAGGCTGTTTAAAGACGGTTGAGCTTCCTGTGAATAGATAGCCACACCATCTCTTTAAAGTGATGTGTCATCTCTCCTCCTCATTTTCACGGCCTATACCGCCCAAAATGCACCTTCCCAAGTTTTAACCTTGTGTGAAAAATGCAAAATGTTAAGGCTTTTAAAACTGTCCTCCTTTCTGCCTTAGACTAGGTGTGGGTAAAATTGTAGTATTTCCAGAATATCTCGCCTGGCTTTAGTATACCTGCATATCAACAGGCGTTCAGAGGTGGAGAGAAGTATGGCTTTGGTGCATTTGCATCATCCCTGGGGGTGGAGAGAAGTTATCTCCATATCAGTGGGTAATTACCTGGGCAAGGAGGGCTTTTCTGTACCGAGTGGGGAGGAGAGTGGAGGGCCGGTTTTGCTGCTGCTGGGGCAGAAAAGAGAAGGGCTTGGACTGCAGTTTGTAAGCTGTAAATGGATTTTAAATTTTATTTCTCCCTTTGACTGATTTTGGTTTTTAGAGGCATTTTGCCCCAGGATTTCCTCTCCCTGGACTTACACTAGGAATATCTTCCTAGCTATCCATAAGGGTGCCTCAGTGATTAATGTATGTGAATATATGATTTGTTTGCAAATATTACTCAACACACAGTTCTTAGACATTTCTTTGTGTTATTTTGTTCGTTTCCTACCCAACCCCCTTTCGTTTTCGTACAGGGAGTTGAAAGTTAAAAGGACCTCTGCACTCTAACTCCTGAATCCTTTTTCCTGTTTATCTTAAGTAGCACTCAGATAACCAGTGGCTGAGTAGACAAATGCTAACAGAAAAGGAGTGGGGGAGGGACATGGGAAGGGAGCTGGGAAAGAGGAGACGGAATCCCACATGGAAGCTCCCGCTGCCTTGGAAAAGGCCGGAGCACGTGTGCCCCCAGGTGCCCCACCCTTCCAAGGGTGACGTGCACAGGAGTGCCTGAGGTGGGTTCAGCCATGCCAGGCATCCTTGCACAGCCAGCAGCCAGCAAGGGGCCTCCACCCTGGACTTCCCAGGTCCATTTTGCAGCAGGTCAGCTGCTAGCAGTTATTTCCATACACGCTGTCAAGAAAGCCTACTTTTCTTTATCAAAGTAACCTTTTAAAGTCATGGTAAGAGACGGGGAGGGATGTCACAAACTAACTTCTTTTCCTTGTAAACACTTAATGAAGCCTAAAGAAGTAAAGCCTTCCCTCTAGAAGGTGTCACTCTTTGTCCTGGCTGGACTTTGTTCCCGGCAGAACCTCCGAGAGTTTACTCAGGATAATGAGTCCCAGTAAGCCATCACTCCCAAGGGTTTGCTTGACATGGGTATGTGGATGGATGGGACTTTGTCCAAGTCTTACTCAGGCTCTGGGGCGAGCTCAGGGGCCCCCCTCTCCCAGGAAGTCTTCCTTCCTTGGTTCTCCACAGCAGAATTCATTGCTCCTTCTGAAGGATCTCCATAGACCTTATTTTCTTCCTTTTTTATTGCTCTTCCTCTCTCTGACTGCTTGTTTTCCTCCCCCACTCCCTGAGTGCCTGTCTCAAGATTTTGCACAGAGCAGACATCCAATACGTGTTCATTATATTGACAAATCTACTTCTAACATCTTCAATCTTAGGAATCTGAACTGGCGTTAGAAGTGGGTAAATTCATACCAGCTACTGAAGAGAGCTCAACACAGGGCCCCACTTCCCCCATCCTGCTCCAGGCCTGTGACCTTCCGCTCAGGCAGGAGCCCTGAGGAGAACCCCACTCTTGGTTTGATGCACTGCTGCTGACATCCTGAAATTCTCAGTATTTTTGGAACAAAGTACCCATGTTCTCATTTTGCATTTCTTTCTACCAATTATGTAGCTCTCTCCATCGCATAAGTGATCGTGAACTGACTGCTTAATTGTACTGACAGTGGGAAAGAACACATTCCAGCTCAGGAGACTTTTTACAAAAGATGTGGCTGTGTTAACTTAAAGATAACTTTGTACTGTTGAGCAAGTGACTCCAAATACAGGTGCTTAGTAAACTGGTCATTACAGATTAAAAAGAAGGGGTTGGTAATCGCATATAGAGATTATGCATATAGAAGATAGAATGCATATAGAGCTTTCTATCTTTGCAATATTATGTTAATATCTTTTCAAACATGTTTGAACTATTATCTTAAATATTCTATTTCTCCCAATCCTTCTTGCCCTCCCATTATACACTATCTATAAACAATGGCTATTTTTATTCGCATGGCTTTGCCATTTACAAAGGCTATTTACTTTCCTTATCTTCCTGGATCCTTGCCCCCTTGGGAAGTATGTACTTCTACTATTATTTCCACTTTATAGCTGAGCAAACCAAAGTTAAGAAGCCAGTGGCCTCGCTGAGAAAACTTCTTGTTGTAACTAGTTGCTGCACCCCCTCCACTTGGGATCCTAAATCTGGGGCTCTTCGCTGGCCTGCAGGTACGCACCAGCGTGGGGTGTGTCGAAGGTCAGAAGTGTCAAATCAAGCTCTGAAGGAATTACACAATTTCAAACTATTCAAGTAAAAATGAGTTAAGACCTGGCTCTGGTTAACTCATGAACAAAAGGGTAACAAGCAGTGAGCGACTCCCACTAGAGTCCTCCTGTTTTGCAAGTGAAAAAGAAAATTAAATAACTGGAATTATTCTCTGTCGCTCTGAATCACATGCCTTGTTCAGGAACTTTAGAAAACCCGAAGGGCAAACAGCTCTGAAACCACTTGCAAATGATCTCAGGCTGTGTGACTTGTGCAGTGACTGCGTGCGTAAGCTAGCTGCCTTCTTCATGTGATAACCCACCAGCGAATAAAGAAAGCTTCAGAGAATACTTAAGAGCAGAGGTATGGTGGAGCGGGGGCACTTATCATTGCCATCAGCGCAGCCTGAGCCTTCACACCCAGCCTGACCCGCGCTCGGGAAAACTGAAGGATATTCACAGAACTGACCTCGTTCCAGCAGCCAGTCTGGGGAGAAGGTAAGAGAATACGGAGTCCGAGACCAGAGCCCTGTGTCTGCCTACATCGACATGCCCAGCAGTGCCAGGACACCTGTGAGGACGCTGGGCACCTGAGGAGACACAGCCTGGCCGCTAGCAGTGGGTACACGGGGGGCCAGCCTGAGTGACTGATTATGAAAAAACCTTGGGCCTTGCTATTTTATTTGTATTGCTTGTTTATTGTATTGAACAGATGCTTACACAGCGCACTCTGCATTCCAGGGACTGTTTTAGAGGCTGTCCTGGTAACATCTCATTTTATCCTTACAGTAGCCCATTCAGGGGTGACTGGTATCATCCTCATTTTACAGATGAGACAATTGGGCCCAAAGAGGTAAGTAACTTGGCTAAGTTGCTACCAGGGCCTCAACCCAGACAGCTGGGTGCCATGGCCTGTCCCGGGCCACCACGCTGTCCCTGAGGCCTTCCTGGTGGGCACCCCACCCCACCCCACGTGAGGAGTGCCACGCTCCCCCTCAGAGGGGGAGAGTCCCTGGGTCTTTCCTCACATATGCAGGAAAATTCTCTTTACTTTTGTATTTTCCTGGTTTTATATATAAGATACAAGTTTTGAGCCAGAGAGATCACTATTTTAAAACACCTCCTCCTCTGGCCTGTTGGGCCAGACCTTAAATTCCACCCACAGAGATTAGAGTTTTAAGTCAGGATTTCTCAGGCTGTGTTCTGGGGAACACTTGTTTAGTGGTGTGTTAAAAGAAATGAGAAGGGAAAAAGGCTCAGTGGTCATTTTACAAAAAGAGGAATTTTCTGAAGTTCTGGTATCATTCCCATGTATGCCTTTTATACTGTAAATGTATACTTTATATGTATGCAGTCATTAGTACTATTATTCTTTTAAACTTTAAATAAACACGCTCCTACTTCATATATAGCTGACCCCTCCTGAAAGGAATCACGTTTGGTTGTATTAGAGAAACTTTCTTTTGAGGACCTCAAAGTAGTTTCACATCTAGATCTTCCTACAGCCCATTAACTTCCTGGTACAGCAGCAGAGAGAGACAGGGTTTCAGAGAGGGGACAGCCAGGCCTGTGGCAGGTCCCAGCCTGGAGGGAGATCTGCCCTCTGACCCCCAGCCCTGCCCACTGGTGGTGGTTACAGCCCACTGAGGGCTCTGCCTCCCACTGGCAAGCTCTTTGTTCAGTGTGAATAAAGCCCCAGGCTGAGAGCAAATCCTAACCTCTACGTGATCACCAGAAAGAGACTCAGATGGATATCAACTCCTGTTACCAGCAGAAGAGCGGATAGCCTCTCTCTGAAGGTAAAATAGATGGACAGAGAACTTCTCTATGTGATAACTGCTCTCTATGGCTTGGCTTAATACAATTTATTTATCTGCTGCTTCCAAACACCTTTTTTGCTATGGTTGAAACTGACATTTCCAAGCAGGGAGCGAAGGTCCCTTTAAAGTATTTGTTTCTCTCAACTTGCTTTCTTTGAAAGAAATTTGCAATACACTGATTGCTTCCCAAGAACTTTCACACCTGTTCATAAGTCGGGGGACAGGAAATCCCGGGGCAAAATACCTCTGAAAACCGAAATCAGTCAAAGGGAGAAATAAGGTTTAAAATCCGTTTATTGCTTACAAACTGCAGTCCAGCGCAGTCGCTCTCCCCTGCTCTGGAAGAGAGCAAGCCTGCCAGCCCCTCCCCTTAACCTCTCCGGTTCAGACACGCCCTCGGTTGCCCAGGTAATTACCCGTTGACATGGAGATGAACTTCTCTCCACCCCTGAGGATATGCAAATGCACCAAAGCCAGGCGAGATGTTCTGGAAATGTTACAATTTTAACCACAAACTATTATGTCATTGAACTTCATATCCACTCTACCAAGTGAGTATATTACTGTGTTTCTTTATTGCACTGATGGGGATGAAGGGCTGGATTACAGAAGAAAGTTTTTTGTTACTGTTTGTTAAGAAACTACTGAGGAAACCAAGAACGACTTTTTAGCAGGAGGAATATCTGAAGTTCCAGAAATCTGGTCCAAGAGCTGGGGATTGGCGAGAGGAAGAGAGGGGTTTGTCCTTCCTCTTCATCTGTCCCTGGAGCCCGTGTTCTCTCCGTCGCACCTTAGTTCCTCGTGCTCCTTCTGCCTCTCAGCTCCCTGCCTAGAAACATGAGCAGTGCTCCCGACTACGACAGAGTTGCAAAAGGGGCTTCCAAGAAGCGGGGGAATCCACACAATCCCTCAATCCCCCAAACTTCTGTAATGACAATAGTCACTCATTGCTGCATGGTTTACATACAGTATTTCATTTACTCTTCATACACACAGAAATAAACTTTGCCTTAGGCATTATTTTCACCTATTTTACAGATGAGGAAAATCAGTGATTTGCCCAGAGGATCAAGCCAGCAAGCAGTCGGTCTGCAAATCTGGGTCCTAAGGGCTGACACAAGCCCAGGTGACCCAGAGGAGTGTAATCATTAGCCCTTGTCTGGGGTTGTCACCAGCCCACCTGGACGGACGGATGAAAGTGGTGCCATCTCAGCTCCAGCACTGCTCAGAGGTCTGCGGAAGTCTAGGGACAAGGGGGGAGCTCGATGGGTGAGGATCATAAGCAGCACGAAGAGAGGGCCAGCAGGGCCTGCCAGACACTTCACACCCGGCACAGCAGACTCTCCAGAACCGACCCCACCTCCAGGATGCAGGCCTCCTTCTCTGACCTCGCCGCACACTGCTGTCAGCTCTCGCCTGCTTGTCTGGTTTTCCTGGCTATCTGGTCTTGCCAGGTGGCAGCATGTTGCTGAGACTCTTAGACAATCTCAGATCTTGAGCTTGTTTCATGAAAAACTAGCCTTGCCAACCAGGTTAGTCAGGTGGGAAGTCGGGCAGCCCTGCCTGTGTCCCAAACCCATATCAGCTTGCAGGGTGGGGGCAGAGCAGAGCCAGGCATCCGAGTTCAGGCGTGTCCGGAATCTATGTCCTACTCAGGACCCATAATCTGTCCCTTGACGTTTCACACCTTTTTTAATCCTTGTGTTTCCTCTTCAGCTTCTAATCATTTTGCTTAAATGCCTTTGGAAGTAGGTGTGTGAACATTGGTATAGCTCTACTTCTAAAAACACATGAATTGTAGCTGATGAGTTTCACTCTGCATTTGTGAAATGCCTCTCACAGATTGCCTTTGGACTGGCAATTCCTTTCCATTACTCTCTTCTTTGCCCTCAAAATGTACCAGCTCTTCTGGTTCTCTGAGAAAATAAACAAAATAGATAAGCCCCTAGCCAGACTTATAAAAAGAAAAAGAGAATCTGCACACATCAACAGAATCAGAAATGAGAAAGGAAAAATCACGACAGACCCCCACAGAAATACAAAGAATTGTTAGAGAATACTACAAAAAATGATATGCTAACAAGCTGGAAAACCTAGAGGACATGGACAACTTCCTAGAAAAATGTAACCTTCCAAGACTGACCAAGGAAGAAACAGAAAATCTAAACAGACTAATTACCAGCAACAAAATTGAATCGGTAATAAAAAAAACTACCCAAGAGCAAAACTCCTGGGCCAGATGGATTTACCATGGAGTTTTATCAGACATACAGAGAAGACATAATACCCATTCTCCTTAAAGTTTTCCAAAAAATAGAAGAAGAGGGAATACTTCCAGACTCATTCTATGAAGCCACATCACCCTAATACCAAAACCAGGCAAAGACCCCACCAAAAAAGAAAATTACAGACCAATATCCCTGATGAACATAGATGTAAAAATACTCAACAAAATATTAGCAAACCAAATTCAAAAATACATCAAGAGGATCATACACCATGACCAAGTGGGATTCATCCCAGGGATGCAAGAATGGTACAACATTTGAAAATCCATCTACATCATCCACCACATAAACAGAAAGACAAAAACCACATGATCATCTCCATAGATGCTGAAAAAGCATTTGACAAAATTCAACATCCATTCATGATAAAAACTCTCAGCAAAATGTGTATAGAGGGCAAGTACCTCAACATAATAAAGGCCATATATGATAAACCCACAGCCAGCATTATACTGAACAGCGAGAAGCTGAAAGCATTTCCTCTGAGATCGGGAACCAGACAGGGATGCCCACTCTCCCCACTGTTATTTAACATAGTACTGGAGGTCCTAGCCACGGCAATCAGACAAAACAAAGAAATACAAGGAATCCAGATTGGTAAAGAAGAAGTTAAACTGTCACTATTTGCAGATGA